AGTTGTCGTCTGAATGAGTGTCATCTTCGGAGTCTGAATAAGTGGTGAGTCCAAGGAGTGAGTTCTTGGTGTGGTTTGACTGAGACATCGTGTCGTGTCTTACAGTAAGTGTCCGTAAATCACATCCGAAACCAAACAAACGTTTTTCACAACAAATGTCTGTTTGGAAAATGCATTCATAGATAGCGTTATGAACAGTATGTGTCACTCAATGTCTTACAGAATATTCTGTGTTTTCACTGCATTTACGATCCATTGATTCACATTTTGCACTAATTATGCATAAAATTCATTGCATTTCACTATTTGTGCACATTTTTGACTACTATTTGAATGTTGGTTTGAAATTCTTTGAAAAATAGTGATATTTTTTATCTCGAAAACATTTGCTAGTATTATATGTTGAGTGCTGTGAAGCATAACTGATAGTAGGCTTGAATTAACATATAAATTCATAGGCAAAGAGTTTTGCATTTGACGCAAAATTTGGACAAAAATCTTAAACCATTAGTAAACTTAGGATTAATGGAAAAGTGATGTTTTATTATAGATTTGGTTAAACCAACAAATTGTATGTATATATCGCTCTATGAAAGGCTAACAAACGCATTGCAATTACATATAGTTTGCTTTAATGGCTCAATGACTACAACATATCCTAAGCCTTAATCAATCTTTTGATATGTCTTTCATATTAGTATAGAATATAAGATAGAAATTGAATGCCTTTCCACTACAGCTCTGTCTTTTGCTTCAATTCTCTATTTGAATGCTTTTATGCAAATAAATAACTAATTTATAGTTTTCATTCATTTAATAATTATATCCAACATTTTCTTATAGCCAAACGTCTACTGTATATCGCATTTCACTCTTTTTCTGCTCTTAAAGTAGTTTTCAGAGGAAATTGAGTCTCCATTTAATTCATATAAATTTCATTTGAAGCCATTTCTTAATTCAAAATTGTGTGCAAATGTTTTTTTGCAATTTCTTCAATGTGTTGATTGATTTGTGTGTTCAGGCATTTGGCATATTCCTGGCCTGGGAGACCAGACATGTTAGCATTCCAGCGCTTAATGACTCCAAATATATCGGAATGAGTGTCTATAATGTGGTGATCATGTGTGTGATCGGCGCCGGCCTATCATTCGTGTTGCGCGACCAACAGGACGCAGCCTTCGTTATAATCTCGATATTCATAATCTTCTGCTCGACTGCCACCCTATGCCTGGTGTTCGTCCCTAAGGTGAGACTGGTGAGGTCTGCCCGTCCATCTGTCCGTCCAACACACTGCACACATTACTGTTCCCTTCCATCACTTTTATCGATTTCTTTGCAGTTAATTGAACTCAAACGCAATCCTCAGGCGGGGGACAGGAGAGTGAGAGCCACACTCAAGCCATTCAAGAAGTCTCGTCGAGATTCAGATGAGATGGAACTCCACCACAGAATCAAAGTGGTGACGGAAGACAACTTCAGGTTTCGTCAACGACTCAAAGAAGTATTGTTTTTGGCGTTTTAAAGAATATTCTGAAATATTTGTAACATTCGTGTCAATAGAAAGCCTATGAATTGGAAGCCCTGACGTTCCGCTTAAGGGGATTAGAAGAATCATCTCTTGTTATAACTAAAGCAGAAACTCAACAAATAATCGCCAGTATTGGTAGTATAGGTAGTGGTGTCGGTGTAGGCCTCGAACCTCTCGATATTAAGGATCAAGAATTGAATGATAGCAAAGAAAATGTAAAGGAATGTCACAAATGGAATCCCTATGAAAGGTATGGTATAATAGACGGAAGGAGACGAGAAATATCTATTGAATCCAATTTGCGTAAAGCAATCAAATTGATAGCTTTTCATATGTGATGCCAAATTTAATATGACTTTCGCTTATAGTTTGAAAGTGACTTCGCTGTCGGCCTCACCATCACTAGACGTGTCACGAAATGGAGTTTTCGACCATAAGATGCCTATACCTCCACCAGAATCATGTCCTGAATTCTTAGAACAAAGAATAGATAAACTATTGAATAGTAGATGTGAAGTAAAACAGAGCTCATCAGAGCTGCTATCACTTCGAGCACTGTCTCTAATAGACAAACAAGAAACTAATAGTAATAATAACACTAAAATCAAGTTCTCTAACAATAGATCTCACAATAGCAGCGATAAGAGTACTGAAAGTTCGGTTAATAGTAGTATTAGTTATAAGCAATCGGAGTTTCTATCTCCTGTCAGTGCAACAGAGGAACAGTACATTCAAATTGATTCCAACCAAAGAGAATTAGGTCTCGAGTCTGATGACACCTCTTATGCCAAAGCAATCCGACAAACGTCTCATAAATATCACTTAAACGACTTCTCCTCCTGTGATGACGACGACAACGACCGCTACGAACACACCGGACAAAGAGGTCTGTGTCCAGCCATCCATATGTGCTCTTTTGCGATAACCACATGATTGAGGTATCCATTGATGATTATATTAGGCATGGAAGCCATGCACCGCAACATACGAAGACGAGCCCAGAGTTTAGGAGGACTGCAGACCACCACCAGAGGGGAAGGCGTGTCACTGGTGTCTGAGGCGTCGATGGATGCCCTGAATGTGTCAAATGCCGGATCCAATTATGCCACCTCTCATAACATTGAGAGCACTTTTATTCGTCTATTTCCATACTTTAACCGCAACACTGAGCAGAACCTACTGAGAACAGGGTCTTCATGTCCTCAGGTGACAGTGCGGTGTGATATCGTTGAATATCTTTAATACCATACACTGTATTAATATTATTAATACATATTTCACACTCGGCTTAACATTTAAATTGTTTCATATATTTAAATGATGAGCACATCCTTACAGTATTACTATAAATGTAATCTTCTATACAGAGTATATATAATATATATATAAATATAAATACTTATATAAATTATAACACATCAAAAACAATTTTTTACTATATAATCAAATGTTTTTCAAATAAGTGCTCAAGACTACTCATTACTATTTGGATTAGAGTTTAAGCAATTGTTTTTGTCAGAGACTGACTATCATTTATATTATAATAATGTTTATTTGAATTCACGAATGAAGTCAAGAATTTTTCAATTACTTGCAGATATAGAAGAGACAGATCTGAGAATAAATGTTAAACACCTCAATGTTAATAAAAATTGAGAGATTTGTGATCACTATTTGTACATTTATATCAATGAAAGCGATTTAATTAAATTTATTACTAATTAACTGATTAAGTGTTTCTCGTGAGTCAGTTGTATTCGCTTTAACACAGATTTGCTCTTAAGTTAATTCAGTGAGAATTCAACTGAATATCAATTAATGTTACAAAAAAGTGTTATTCAGTGTCGGAAATGAGATAGAGCTCAACAATTTGAAACTTAATAATTATTTTGGGACCAAAACTTAAAAACAATCCATTCGACCAAACATTCATCAAAAGTCGATTTCTGTAAAACTTTCATATTTCTCAACAATAAAATTGATTTCTTTGTATAAATATATTGAACTCTATTTTATTGATTCCTAATATGTCATCAATTATATGTAAGTATATATTTTACAAATATTGGCATGCTGTTCAATTCAATAGCATCATTTATCAATATTTGTTACATTTTAATAATAATAATAACCACTGTTAGCCATTAAAACAATATAAAGAAACTAAGGTATAATTATCTACTAGTAGTTAAGCAATTAATGTGAACAAATACATCACTACAGAGTTGCCTCAAAGTCACAAATTCTTATACATTTTAGTTACATTTAAACAAGATAAGTTAATCCTATTCATAATTGTCTTCTAAATAAATGTAAGTAATGTTCATTTACAGAAATAATTTTTATTTGATTGCCTTAATTGATGATCAATATTAACGATAATTTGTGACCACCATTGAAATTAATCTTTAAGTTTCTTGTGATTTATGATATCATTACGACTATACCATAAAAATATGGTTTTTATCGCCATTAGTGACTCTAATAATTGTCGGACACGACATGATGAGACTTTTTAAAGTCAGACATACTGTATCTTTTCAAAAGGCTTGCACTCAAAATTTGGGACATTTATTAACAAACAAACTAAAAACAGTATAATTATAACAAAGGTCTTAACAACATTTTTTTTGTCAAGCCTGTCATATAAGAGTGGAGATAAAATAATGCCTATAAAAATCGTTTTTAGGATTTACTTACTGTTATATACTGTACGAATTGTAAAGTATATTATTAGATATCGAAATGACCAAATTTAAGGGCACGATTAAAGCCATATATTTTATTATTTAGACATTAATCTGAAATATTAGAATATTAATACACGTTTTAATATCACACCACATAAATTTACATATTTTTTGATAAATTATTTGATTATTTTTACTGTATTATAATTAATTATTTGTTTATACCGTAGTTGTGTATAAAACGTAATGCATATAATTTATATTATATTTTAAATAGTTATTATATATGAATATAATTTATAAGTTAATATATATTTTATATAGATTTATGTAATCAATAGAAGAGTCTTATGTTTTAAGCTTAAAAATCTTTTGATAAAAATGATGAAAATAGAAAAAAAAGTAAAAGGATCTCAAAATAATCTGATTTTAAATATACTGAACACTACTTTTTTTTTGTTTTCAAGGATTAAAATAAAACAATTTTTAAACATGGTTTCGATAAAAATTCATTAAAACTTCCGTAATCTAGATAATGTACAGTATATTTAATGCAATTACTAATAATATGAAAATTCAAAATAATACATTTTATGCTGTGTTAGTAAATCTGAAATAATAAAATTTTCATCTGTAAGACATTGTCAGTATATTATACAAATATCTACAATATTTCTACAATGTGTAATATTAATAAAAATAAAATAATTAATTACTTTTGAAGAAGAATACTGTAATAGAAAATAGGAATATAAGCTATACTTATCAATGAATGATACTTTGGGTGCAGTAGTGGCCCTCAGATTATTTGGTATAAATCGGTCAGATCTACATCAAGTCACAACACTAATACATTCTCCATGACATACTGTACTGTACACTAACTGTATACAAAACGTACAGTACTTTGCTGTCATTTCTTAAAAGATTTCAACTAAAAGGGTTTTCTAAAAGTGAGAATTTTAGCTATAATTTATTAGTTCATTAGAGCTGTACTGTACTAACTTAATAGCCTAAAATGAAAGCACAATACAATTATTTCAGTGATATTAGGAATATTTTTCTTTTTCTTAATATAAAAGTAATATTAATATATTAATAATAATTAAGTTTAGCACAAACTCAATTCCGATTCATTTAATGTAACATTTATATGATTGCATAAAAATGCAAAATTTTCTGAATACTGTATTCAGTGTAGTACTGTAGTATTAAATGTGTCATTAATACAACGAAACACAGACTTTAATTATTATAACATAAATTATCAACATTTCAAACAAGTAATAATATAATTAACACAGTGTTTTTTACAGTGTATGAAATAAATAAAAATAACACAAAACAATTTAAAATATGATTATTCCGTATAATATTATTAAACTTTCTATAGTATAGGAAAGAGTCTATTGAAAGAGTCGCATCCACGGAGACCACAAACCTGTCATTCATTATGTCTATAAATTATAGCGTTTTGTGTTTTTGACAACAAATTATATCAGTAAAGGTTTTTATTAAAAAAGATTAACTAAAAAATGCCAAACAATAACCCATTAACCCTGCTTTCAATCGAGTCTATTGTATGAGTGAGTGAATTGAAAAGCAATATTTACAGATATGATACCTAATACTCATTAGTCTAATGCTTATGTTTTGGGTAAGGATTGTAAAGCGTTGGCAAAAAATTCAGAAAAAATCATGCATTTTATGCTTTTACAGAAAAACGCTTGAATGCAACTAATGGTCCAAAGATTTTAAAATCATGATTGAAGTGTTTGTTTGCTTCTAAAACACATTTTAAAATAAATTCAATTTCTATATAAAAATGAGTCAACGATTCTTATAGTAAATCATTGACTTTTGAAGAAAAGTTTTGATTAAATCTTGTTATAAATTCAATTTAATACATAAAATATCTTATATATATATATATATTTATATATCGTATATTGATTATGGACTCCAAAATATTAAAATAATTTGTTCGCGTATTATGTTTTAGTAATACAGTAATGCAATTTGTTTTAATTTGAAATTTTTGCCATAAATGTCATAAAATGTCATAAATCATGGAAAGGAAAGAAACGAATAGACATTACATTACTTGAGAAGTTTAATAAAGATATAAAAACACACAAAAAGAGAAAAAAGAGGAGAAATACATTATTTTCTCTTCCAATTCATCTGAATCTCTTTGAATGATAAAATGCCAGCATTTCTGTGCATTCACTCAATGCTAACAAAACAAATTTTGATGAATAAAAGTATAACAAGAGATATATTCACCACTACTCTATGTCTGTATGAATGTATCAAATATTATACCATATAATGCTTTATTTCAATACATCTGTTTGCTAAACACTAACACAATCTATGATTTATTTTCATTCATCTTATTTATTGTCTATATACATAATAATAAAATCCTTTAAATATAGCCACAAACTAATGATTGAAAACTACAGATTTTCCTCCCAAACCCATATTCAATCAAACTTAACATTTGCACACAATTTTGAATTAAGAAATGGCTTCAAATGAAATTTATATGAATTAAATGGAGACTCAATTTCCTCTGAAAACTACTTTAAGAGCAGAAAAAGAGTGAAATGCGATATACAGTAGACTGTCTTTTCTAAACCAAAACTAAACTCATGATGCGATAGAGTAGCGTATATTCAGTGTTAGTATTGTCTAAAACATTATTCTGGTATTCATTTTGTTTGGTTTATGACAAGAAGAGAGAGAAATTCATTAAATTAATGCCCGACATAAGCACAGCAAACATGGATTTGTAGTTTTGTTGGATATTTTCAGTCAAAAATAATGAGAAAACTCCTAACGTTTAGCATTTTAGTCACGTTTATGATTACCTTAATGTCAACTTTGTCCAAAATCACCTCAAAGCTTTGTGTTAATAAAACAAAATAAATTTAGTGATCTTTTGCCATTATTATTTTATTTAATACTTTTCACTTACAATCTTTGATCATTGAGTTCTGATGAATGCTTAAAAGCGGATTAACTTTAGAAATGTTAACTAAGCTCCAGTCCATCCGTATCATTGAATTGGCAGATTTCACAACATTTTCTACTTTCTAAACTTACAGGAAATTTATGTCATTTTGTAATCCATGTTCTTTTATTTCATTGACTTGAGTGGCTTTTATATGACTCAAAAACTATTAAAATTATTCTCTTAATAAACTTAAACACACTTATCATAAACATTTTTACTAAAAAAGCTTGTTTTAAAATAAATTCTATAAAATGATTTCAATTATTAGATGATATATTGAATAAATATAGTTTTAATGTATTAAGGGTTATGTGAAGATTTGATATAATAAATGTGAAATACCTGTCCTTTCTATATTTAATATTCATGGCAAGGAAGACACAGGCCAGCACTATCCCACAGATGGCCAGCACTGAGATGACTACGAATAATGTGATACTTATTCTGGACGGCGACAGAATCAATGTTGTGCGGTCTCGAGGAGGCGTTCCACTCCCTGTCCAATACAATCGTATTATAGTTACTACTCATCAATACTCATCAATAGACAACAAAAACATTTATAAATAATTATTCAAATCATATTAAAAATTTATTTTCTTAGTTTCAAATATTTAGTTTATTTTAATGTATAAAGAATTTCGATTTAATAATGTCACTAAATATAATATTAATTTCAAGTAATAGATTAAATTGGGAATAG